AAAAGTCACCCAGCCAGCTGTATAAGGCCACAGGCACCCACCACAAAACCCCCCACCACAAAACCCCCCCAGATAGCCCACCCACCCAGATGATGTACCCAGCCGTGATAGTCCCCCCCACCAGCATGATAGTCCCCCACCCCTTGAAGTCACCCACCAGCAGATAGTCACCCAGCCAGCTTTTAAGCCCCCAACCAATGAAGTCACCAGCCAGCAGAATCCCCCAAATGATATCCCCCAGAGCATGATAGTCACCCAGCCAGCATGATAGTCACCCGCCAGCATTATGTCATCAGCCACTGATATCACCCAGCCATATGATAGTCACCCCACCGCATGTAGTCACCCCCAGCATGATAGTCCCCACCCACATGATTTTCCCCCACCCGCATGATAGTCCCCCCACCGCTGATAGTCACCCACCGTTGATGTCACCCAGCCAGCAGACAGTCCCCCGCCACATGTATCACCCAGCCACATATAGTCCCTTCCCAGCAGCATGATAGTCACCCAGCCAGCATGATAGTCACTCAGCCAGCATGATAGTCACCCAGCCAGCATGATAGTCACCCAGCCAGCATGATAGTCACCCAGCCAGCATGATAGCCCACCCACCCGCTGATATCCTAGCCCATGATAGTCACTCAGCCAGATGATAGTCACTCAGCCAGCATGATAGTCCCCACCGAAATAAGTCACTCAGCCAGGTAGTCACTCCCCAGCATGATAGTCACTCACCCAGCATGATATCACTCACCACATGATATCACTCAGCCAGCATGATGTCACTCAGCCAGCATGTATTTCATCACTTCGCTCCCGAGTGACGTACCACTGTCAAGAGCAATTACCTGCCAAGCGAAAGGAACTACGCCTGGGAGGCACTGGGGGGAGTTGGCATTTTGCTTAGGGGTAAGGGGTGCAGGTGGTGCTAGGGGGTGCTGGGTGGTGTAGGTGGTGCTAGGGGGGTTTTCTGGGTGGTGCTGGGGGTGCTGGGTGGTGCGGGGAACCCGCATCGCTCGCGGGATAGCAACCCCAAATATTCTGTTTATTAAAAATTACTATAATTTATTTTAAAAATTCTTCGGGGAACGCTAAGCCCCAAGAGTCACTGCGGACTCTTGGGGGGTTTACAGGACAATGCAAAGCAATAAGGTCGATCCGAGGAAAGAGAGGATAGGGAAAAAATTCTTGGATCAAGATACCTCCTTGAAAGGATATTTCACGATAAGTTTATATTACATTTTTTTTTTTTTGCGGGCCATCCCCCCTCCTCAAGTGAGCTTAATGGGGTCTTCTGGGGTCCTGTGGGCTCCCGGGGTTTTCCCAAGGGGTCCCTTTTGATCTTCCGGGCTTCTTTTGGGATCTCGGGATTGACTTTTTTCCCCCTGGGGTTTCCCGGGGGCAATGAGCTTCCCCATGTGCGTGCGTCGATACTTGTTTCATTTTTTTTTGAGTATCTTGCACAACCATTGCCATGCCCTCTCGACCATGAACTGGCAATTCAATGTGTACATTCGGGCACCATACACATTAAACTTGAAAAATTAAAAACCCGGTTTGGGATCCAAGGTAGTCCCCCTTCCCCAAACTTTTGGCTGAGTGGCCCGCTTTCCCCAAAACTGGCCCTTTTTTTATGGGTTTTGGGTTCCTTGATTGTTAAATTTGCCCGTTTGGAAAGGTACAGGTAAGAAACCCCTGTTTTTGGGCCCGACTTGTTACATTTTTTTGGTTGTTATTTTTGTTTTGGGTTAGTTGCGGGAATGGGGTTTTTTTTAAAAACCCTACCCCTGACTCGAAATACCTGTTTTTTTCTGGGCTCCTTTGGGTTCCCTTGAACCCTTGGGGTCCCCTCTCCAGCCACGTCCCTTTTAAATATTAAGAAAAAGGGGGTCGCATATATTTCAAAAACTTGCCTGGGGAAAACAACGCTGTGTGGAAAGGTTTTTACAAGCTTCCCTCAGGTTCCACCAGAGCAGAAACACTTTTGAGGCATCCATCAGAGCGGGCAACACACTTCATATGAGAAAGAATTCCATCTTTTCTGCCAAAGTCGGGGGGGGGGGGAAAATTTGACTTTTCTAAATTTGAGGTCTTAAAAATTTAAAAAATTACGTCATGCCGGGGTGGTTCCTTCACTGGAATTTTGAATGAATTTCCATCACCCCCGAAATGGTGTCCCCATGTTCCCCGTGACCTGACTATAACTTCTGTAGTGGGTGGGGATATTTTTAAATGTATAGAAAGGGTGAATCAGTTGACACTAACTGCTTCTGTTACTACACTACTACTACTACCCTACTTTTCCCGCTCTGTTACTACTACTACTACTACCACTATACTACTGCTTTCTGTTACTACACTTAAAACCCCTACCTACTGCTGCTGTTTCTACTACTACTACCACTACATACTGCTTTCTGTTACTACTATACACTGCTGCTGTTTCTGCTACTCTCACTGCCCCCTACTTACTATTTCTGCTGTTTCTACTACTACT